CTGAACAAGTCAGCGCTGCGCTAACACTAGCCATTCGAAACTTACTGTCGCTATGCACAGGGGGAGAACGATAATAAACCACGATGACCATGCCTAGTCGAACAAGTCCACGCTCGACATCGCGATACGAGCCGCCGCTGATGCAGAGTGTGGCGCTGGTAGTCGGGTCAATCAGCGGGCAGAGGTGGCCAGTCGGCAGCGGGGTGTAGGAGAATCAGTCAGGAAGGATTTGCTGGCCTGGCATATGTAGTATTGACCGCCACGCCCCCGACTCATTGTACGATAAAGGGGGTCGATGTAGTAATCCTGATTCACAGGACGCGCGATTGTATGTGACAAGGAGGCGTTGAAGCAGACCGGCCCTGTTTCGGATCTGCAGGGAGCGTGCGGTAGGTGCGGCGGTTGAACGATAGGCGTGTGTCCCGGCGGATTTCGTATCTGCGTTAACGGGGCCCTAGGCCGGAATGGTGGTGATCGTGGCGAAGAAGAGGCGTCGTGCGCAGAAAAGTCTAAAGTTATGGGGATTCGAGGTGTGCTGGCAATATAGTGCCAGCGAGACGCGAGCTGGGGGCGTGCATAGGCAGGAAAACCGAGCGACGTAAGTATCGGTAGCTTAGGTGAGAGATGGAATGCCGTAGTGGATAAACGACTCGGCCCATGCCACGACGGCGGCCCTAAAATGTGAAAAGTGAAAGGAATGATGTCCCTCATGGTGAGAGCTTCTGGTAAGTCGTCGAGCCGAGCGTGGATCGCGGGCGGAGCGGAAAATCGCGCCACGAAGATATTTGGTCATATTTGCCGTGATTGATGCGCCATCACACGCCACACCGCGGCGCATCACTACCGATAGACGTAGCGCCTCGCTTTCATCACATTTTCGTGACTTTGACAGCCATAGCCTGCGGCGCCGACTATCTCTTGAGTTGCTATCCCTTATACTATAACTGTATGTGTGCGGCTGGATGAAATGGACTTGGCCCAGTCCCCGAGTCGGCAACCTTGGCATCCGCATGGTACTGCATGACGTGCACATCGATATCGGCGGCCCAGCACTTTCTGTGGGGGCCAAGGTGGTGCCTGCGCACTCAAGCTCCTCTCAAGTGCCGAGATGCGGCACCGATTGGATGCTGATATACAGCATTCAACATTCTACATTCAAGGGTGAATTGTTGTAGAATAGCGCGGAAGGAAAACGGCACGTCACCAGCAATCTTTCATGAATACAACCTCTAAGAGTTTTACGTTCGGAATGCATCTATGGTGAGTAAATGCGACCTGCCCCGCCCACTACGGAGCTTCGATAGCAGCAGGATCGCGGAGCGCCGCATGTACGTCAAAGTTTGGCCTTTCTGCCTAGCAAAGCATGAGATTCATCCGTTACTCCGAGCCATCACTTGTGCACGACAGCTGGGAGCAGCTTTTCAATGTCGAGAATCTGCACATCTTGAGCTGTACATCGACTCGGAGACCGCTGTGTGCTATCGCGGCGGCTTTGGCCATATGAGCAGGGGATCCGAAATTATAACGAAGGACACGAGAAGCAGCGCCATGTCGACAAGGCCGACGAGCACGGTAAATCGACGTCACGCAGGGTCTCTGTCGAATTTGGCTTTGGCAAGGACGAGCTAAACGCGGACCAGCCCACAGCGTGATAACGCTTTGTCTGGTGGTACATGCAATGCATCTATCCATCAGATCTTGCTAAGGGTCTCCTTATTCCACATCGCAGGCAGACCAGGCACTATCAACTCTAGCCCTCCAGCGTGTGAGAAGGGGCAGACAGCGGAGTCTGAAACGACGCAGCAGGCACCTCTCACGGTCGGGGGTGCCAAGGGTGCTGGTGGGCCACGGGAGATGCGACCCGACATTCCGTGCTCACTCTCGACGCTGGTGCCCTGCAGACTGCATTGTGCTACCTGGAGGCCGTTTACCACTCGAAAGCGCGTGAAGACCACGGTGGCCTCTTGACAACTAACGGGAGCGACTTACCTAGGCAGCCTGGATCATTCGCTCCCTCGGTATGGCTAGTTTCTATCTGGCGCACGCGAGAGTGGTCATTGGTGACATCCTGGCATCGTCCATCAGAGCGTTGGCAACGATAGCTCTTGTTAACGCCCATCTGCCTGCTGCAAGGAGGTGCTGACCAAGTTTTTATGATTATTCTAACAGTAGCATTAAATACAGTAAATTTATTGGCCAAAGCCGTGGCTTGCCGGCTTGGCTCGGCTAGCTTGACATGCAAGCCGAGCCGAAAGCCTTTTCAAGCCGGCACCCTTTGGCTTGGCTTGGCCGGCTTGCTGGCTTGAAGCCAAGCCGGTCAAATCACTAGTAGGAAACGAATACTTAAATTTGACGATGTCTGTGTAGCCCGACGCATGCCGGAGTCTGCCGCGTGTGCAGACTGGGCGATAGCATGAGCATCAGGCCTATGCTCACTGGCAGTGCTCACTCGTGGCAGTAAAGGCTTCAGCAATGGCGAACGTAGTCTTTCCCCAAGTGTGAAGAGAGATCCTGGTTAGGGTATCACGAAGCTATTTGGCTATGTTTGCCGTTAATTGATGCGCCATAACATCACGCCGCGTCGGGTATGCGTAGCGCCCTGCTTGCAGTTTCGTCGACCCACAATGTCGGCTATCTCTTGAGCTGCTATCCCTCATATTCCGACAGCATACGCGCGGCTGAACGAGACATATCCCATTCCTGGACGCGCTCAACAACCCTGACGTCTGCATGGCTCTCGTCATGCGCATGTTGTACGACGTGCACATCAACGTTTGCGGTCCCAGCACCCTCTGTGGTAACAGAGTTACGCTCGCGAGGTCATTTCGAGACTCGAGATGTGGCACAAATTGGCTGCTGATAATCAACATTCAAATATTTAAAATTCAAGCTATCAAATTTCAAGGGCTAGCTGTTATAGAATACTTAGCGTGCGAGGGACCCCCAGAAGCCTGAGGAAAGTTGGCATATCATGGAGGACTCTTTCGTCACCGTGGCGGTCTAATAACAGATCTAGGCTTGTTATGCCCCCGGCACATCACCAGCAATCTTTCAGTATTCGCAATCTACAAGAGTTTTACGTCCGGAATGCACCTATGGTAAGGTAATTGTAACCTACCCCGCCCACTGCGGAGCTTCGGCCGGCCAGGTGTGCAGCGACCCCCGCGGAGCGCCGCGCCGGAGATGAAGGTGTCTCTACTTGGAGGCTGCCAAAGAAACGCATGCACATCAAAGTATAACTCTGCCACCTAGCGAAGCCGGGAGAACCGTAAGATTCATCTGTTACTCTGGGCCACTGCCTACGCAAGATAGCCGGGAGCAGCTCTGCGATGTCGTGCTTTTGCACTTCCAGGCAGTACCTCCGCTCGGAGACCATTATGAGCTATCGCCGCGGCCTTGGTTATGCAGAGGATATGGCAGTACAACCAAGTACGCGAGAAGAACTCGGCTTTGGCAAGAGCGAGCTGAACGCAGACCGGCCCACAACGTGACAACGCTTCGTCCGCTGGTATGTGAAATACATCTATCCGTCAAATCTGGCTCAGGGTCTCTTTATACAGGCACCGAGGGTACCATCCCTTCTCACACGTTGGGGGGTTCAGTCCCGACGAAGTCTCGGGCGCTTGCAGTGCGGGACGGGATGGCGAGTACATCGTAGCCTCATTGCAGTCTGCCCGTCTGGACTGTCACAGTACTGTCACAGTCCAGACGGCCATGCAAAGGAAAAGAAGAAGGAAAAGGCTGGTGGCACACGTCCTGTTCCGAGCATACTCATCCTCTCCTTCCCGGCATCGTACTTGAGGCTCGACTCAAACCGCGAATTAAATCTCCCTGAACCCGTCCTTATACAATTGGCTCATTTCATCGCACGTTCAGCGTATCTCTAATGGACGAGGTGTCTTTGCTGACTGCCCTGACAGGAATGAAGTTGACGCAAGTCCTCTTGGTCGCTATCGACAATATATAACCTCGTTCGCAAGTCACTTACGTATTCATTTACTATCGCCTGATTGCAGTATCGACCAGGAAACTCGGAAGCAAGATCTACTGTGTTACCGATTGAGGATTATCCAGTGCGTTGGCATACAGCGACTGATGACTATTCAGCGGCTCATTGTTACGCTGATAGTTGGCCCAGAATGTAAGCTTCAAACGCCTAGATCGTTGCTCATCGGTCTCGTAATTGACTTGACGTGCAGACCAGGTGCGATAGACTTTATACGTCAGGTGATCATGTCGTGGGAAGACCTCGGGAACTCATCTCCTGACATTGACGATGACTGGATGATCAATGCGTCGCGCGAAATCCTTTCGTGGGAGACCGCCGTCGGAGCTGATCGGGTGGCACCTTTGGCAACCCTCTCGTCCAAACTGTTCGAACGTTCAGTTCGTAGACGTGACACGCAAGACCTCGAAGACGCCATCTGCGCGGCGCGCGAGGCCATCTCTATCTGCCCTCTGACAGACGAACATAGCGCCGCACTACTGCACCTCCTTGCTTCTCCTCTCCTCCGTCGGTTCGAACTCGCTGGTCAGCCAGCTGATGTACAAGAAGCTTTATCTCTTCACCGCAAGGCGCTCTTCCTTCGTCCTTCCGGGCATGCACACCGCTACGCTTCTGTGCTGTCGCTACTGCACACCCATTACTGCCACACTGGCGAACCCCAGAATTCGATCGAATACTCCAGTAGCGCTCGGGAAGCCTTGTCGCTTTTCGACCCCACCCGCCATGATATCCCTGGAACCCTTACGCTCTGCTCTGCAACACCAAAACCAGCGACAGTCAGCGATACTCCTCCTCTGCCGCTTTCAAAAGCCGAGCAGGAATGGCAGCGCCAGAAGGACGCGGAAGGCGCAAAGAACTCCAACATCGATACCATCATGGAGATGACAGGCCTCGAGGAAGTCAAGGCCCAAATGCTTAGGATCAAGGCTAAAGTCGATATCATCCGACGCCAAGGCGCGTCGCTCACGGGCGAATGCTTCAACATTGTCCTGCGAGGTAATCCGGGCGCCGGTACGCTTGATTTCTTGTTGCCCTTGGGGCATAATTTAATCTCAATATAGGCAAAACAACGGTCGCGCGACATTATGTGAAGTTTCTCGCTTCAGTCGACCTCATTCCGGACGACAGCTTCATAGAGACGACCGGATCTCGTCTGGCCAACAGCTCCGTTCGCGAAATCAAGGAGCAGATCGAAGAGATGCTCGAGAATGACGGTGGGGCAATATTCATCGATGAGGCGTACCAGTTCACTAATGGATGCAGCCTCAACGGCAGACAGGTCCTCGACTTCCTCCTCGGCGAGATGGAGAAGAATGATAACAAGATAGTCTTCATCTTCGCGGGCTACAACAGACAGATGGAGACGTTCTTCGAGCACAACCCGGGGCTCATCAGCCGCGTTCCGTACTCGCTGCAGTTCAACGACTTCAACGATCTCGAGCTCCTGCACATGCTCGAGAAGCTCATCTCGAAGAAGTACAACGGGCAGATGAAGGTCGAGGGCGGGGTGTTCGGCCTGTATATGCGCGTCGCGGTCAGGCGTCTGGGCCGCGGACGAGGGAAGGAAGGCTTTGGCAATGCTAGGGCGCTCCAAACGGTGTTCGCGACCATCTTCGAGCGGCAGGCGATGCGCTTGACGGAGGAGCGCAAGAAAGGAGAGAGCTCGGATGACTTCTTCCTGGCGAAGGAAGACATCATTGGCCCTAACCCTTCGAAGGCAGTCCTGGAGAGCGTCGCATGGAAGAAGCTGCACGAGCTGGTCGGCCTTGCCGAGGTCAAGCGGTCCATCAAGACTCTGTTCGACCTGATCGCTGAGAACTATAAACGCGAGCTAGCGGAGAAGCAGCCGATCCAGATGTCGCTCAACCGTGTATTCCTCGGCAACCCCGGGACAGGCAAGACACTGGTTGCGAAGCTGTATGGGCAGATATTAGAAGATCTCGGATTGCTGAGCAACGGCGAAGGTGCGTTAAGAGCAGATTGTCCAGCCCGCTTAGATTCTGATTTATCCCGTAGTCTTACTCAAGAACCCCGCTGACTTCGTCGGAAGTGCCGTCGGAGAATCGGAACGGAATACCAAGGCTATTCTGGCGGCTACGGCTGGCAAGGTCCTGGTCATCGACGAGGTACCATCCATGTCGCTTCACGGATGGACCATCATTGTTGATGGCTTTTTATAGGCGTACTCATTGTACGGAGGTGGGAGCGCAGGTGGCGGGAAGCAGAGGGATCAATACAGGACAGCCGTCATTGACACCATTGTCGCGGAGGTCCAGAGCGTTCCAGGCGAAGACCGGTGCGTTCTCATGTGCGGCTATGAACAGCGGATGCGGGAGATGTTCCAAGTAGGTCGCAATTGTCGCAACGCCTTCCCGAGATTTGCCAGTATTGAGCGCGTTGCAGAATGTCAACCCAGGTCTTTCGCGCCGATTCGCCATTGAGGACGCATTTCGCTTCGAAGACTTCTCCGAGTCCGAACTTCTCGAGATCCTGAACCTGAAGCTCAAGGATCAAGATCTCGACGCGACGCCTGAGGCCAAAGCGGTGGCGATCGACATGCTTAGCCGTGCCCGCGACCGACCGCACTTTGGGAATGGCGGGGAAGTTGAGAACATGCTCGGCAAGGCAAAGAACAACTACCAGTCGCGCCAGTCGAAACTCCCCGCTTCTCAGCGGCCGCTCGACGTTGTCTTCGAACCTGTCGATTTTGATTCCAACTTCAACCGCGCGGAAAGCTCGGATACGAACCTGAGGAAACTCTTCAAGGATATGGTCGGATGCGAGAAGATCGTAGAGAAGTTGCAGGAGTATCAGAACATCGCACGTGTTACAAAGCTGCGTGGACGGGAGGCACGGAAGGCACGGCATCTCATTCCTACTAACTTCGTGTTCAAGGGGCCTCCTGGTGAGTATATCCCTGTATAAGCTGAAGTGTTGATACTAACATGAAGTAGGTACCGGCAAGACGACCACGGCGCGCAGGATGGGCCAGGTGTACTACGACATGGGCTTCCTCTCATCCACAGAAGTCGTCGAGTGTTCTGCCTCCGAACTTGTGGGACAGTACGTGGGACAGACAGGGCCGAAGACGAGGCAGGTCTTCGAGCGCGCGCTTGGCAAGGTCCTGTTCATCGATGAGGCGTACCGTCTCAGTGAAGGCGCGTACGCGAAGGAGGCAGTGGATGAACTCGTCGGGATCCTCACTCAGGAGGCTTTCGTTGGAAAACTTGTCGTCGTCATCGCTGGATACGACAAGGAGATGGACACACTGCTGGCAGCCAACCCCGGACTTGCAAGTCGGTTCCCCGAGGTGATACATTTTGAGAACATGTCGGCGGAGCATTGTCTCGAAATCCTAAGGAAAGATCTCGCGAAGGACGATATCGAATGCGCGGCGCTTGGGGCGACAAGCTCCGGCGAGTACAGGCACCTAGTGTCGCTAATCGGGCAGCTTTCTTCGCTGGGCTCGTGGGGTAATGCGCGAGACATGAAAATACTCGCGCAGCGGATGGTGCGTCTGGCGTTCAAGTGCGCCACTGGCGATGCCCAAGGGTCCGACGGGCCCAAGCTCCCGTTGTCCAGTGTAGACGCTGTTCGTTGCGTAGCCTTCATGTTCCGCGAGCGTAGTGGACGAGCCCCGAAACCTCCGTCGTCGTTCATGGCCAAGGACACGCCCCTCGTGCAAAACCTCGGTCTTCCAACAGCTACTGGCGATGCCAAAGGGTCTATTGGGTCCAAGCCCCTGTTTCCCGGCGCAGATGCTGCCCGTTGCATAGCGGCCATGCTGTGCGAGCGCGGTAGACGGGCCCCTCAGCTGCCGTCGGCGTTCATGCCCAAGGACACGCTCCCCATGCAAAACCTTGGCTCTTCAATGACGACTGCACACAAAGCGCGCGTTACTTCGCAGACGCCGAAAGCTGCTACCCAGCAAGAAGAGGCCTTACCACTGCCCCAGGAGTGTAATCCCGAGGTCGAGGAGCAGTGCACCACGCGGTTCGCAGTAGACAATGTGCGTAAACGGAAGGAAATGGAGTTCGAGTCCCGAAACGCGGAGAAATTAGAAGAAGAGAAGAAGGAGCAGAGAGCGCAGAAGAAGCTGAAACAGATGGGACTATGCTCTGCTGGTTATGAGTGGGTCAAGCAGACGGGAGGGTATCGATGCAAAGGCGGGTCCCACTGGGTGAGCGACTCAGAACTTGGGATGTGATAGCTGCCAGCTGCTATCATTTCGTACAAGCGCACGTACACTTAGACTGCTACAAGCATTGCTTCATCTTACGGACTTGAATTGTCATCGCACTACAATTGCACATACTAACATTCCTGCCTTTCGAGGTCACGACTCAGGATGTGCCTGTCATTTGCCCCTTGTGGTTCTGTCGGTCAGCCAAAGGGGCTGACTCGAATCCACATATGCTCAACCTCATCGGCATAGCGCCGTTTCTTGCATACTTCCTTGTACTTGGTTGTAATCTTGTTGCTGAACCTAAGTCATATGAATATCGGTGAACCATGGGTGCAGCCTCTGCCTCTCCTCGATTGTTTACAGCGCAGATCGGCGCAGGTAATCAGTCTATCAAGCGTTTGTTAAGGGTAGAGGGGCGCATAGGAAGTACTTATTCTCAACCAGGCCAGGAGTTCGGATGTTATGTCGTCCGAGGAAGAAACATCTCTACCTCGGACGACATAACATCAGAACTAGCTTAGTCCTCTGAAGTGAGCCGTGTTAATGCCAATGACTTCCTGGATCTTATAGTGTCCATCCGCATGTCAGGAGGCCCTTCTCGTCCGACAGAAAGAGCAGAGCGAGATGCGTTCTAGGTGTGATTATATATGTAGGGCGTGAACTCAGCGTTCCACTACCGTGACGGGAAAGAGTAAATGGTGCGACAGGTAAATAGCTTGTCCCGTGCCACGAGGATGGCGCCAATATTAATTACGGCGGATGAGGAGATTGCGACCACCGACCGGCGACGACCACCACCATTGGACCCATCCTGTCCGCATCCACGGATCAGCTCGTTTGTTTAACCTCATTACTTGACCGCTTTTGACGTAGCTTTAGGATCGAAGGGCTACGCGCGAAAGCCTCGCAAGATGCCGCTAACCGAGTCTCTGAAGGCGTGGCGGAAGGACGAGGCTGTCAAGCGCTACGGCGCCGGTCGCGTTCGACTCCTGGGAGTGGGGCTGGTTATGACGCACACGATTCTCTGCAGAATCGTAGATTCCGTCGAAAAGTTGGAGACGACAGAGGACATCGAGCGAGAGCTTACTGACTGGGAGGATGTGCACCAGTATAGTGCACAAATACTCCTGGTGCTCAACGACTACCGTTCCTCTCTCTCTCCGCCTTCAACCCCGCCTGTGCCTGAATTGGAACAGCCTTATGCTCATGGTACAGATGCCACTCCCGTCCCACCCGGCGTGGATTAAAGCTTTCCTTAGCGTCGACGGTCCCCAGCCTCCAACTTGACCTGACTCTTCTGTTATCCCTGTCATTCACTTTCTGTCAACATTTCCACCTTCTTTGTCTCTTAAAATTCCAAGCGGTATCTATATGACTCGTTGGCCTAAGTGTCCCAAACCTCCTCGCTTTTGAAGTTCACTTCCTACGACAAGGCTATCCTGAGGTGTGAGCGAAGCCACTGGCCGGTGTCACTGAATCAGAAGAGATTCCAAGCTGGGAAGCAGTAATAAGGCAGACTCCTCACCGTCGTCCGTGGGGCGGTAAGTCACGGTTTTGTCTCAAACAATCTTATCTGTTATCTGTAAATTACCGGATTAATCAATGTGTCATTCACTTCACGTAAATTAACAACGTTCCATACCGCCCACGGACGACTGGCGGAAAACATTGAGTAAACAAAGCGGCAGCCTCGGCACATTGCTTCTCCAGCAGCTGAGTTCAAAATTTACAAAATCATTTGCATGAAAATCTTTGGCGCTGTCCGCCGGCAATGTCCAGTATGCTCATGAGAATATTTCAGATTATTGGCCGTGTGTGTGAACCTTTTCGGTAGTACAGCCCTTTCGGAGGCGCACAGTGTCAGCAAGGAGAGTACTAGGGTGGGCAGGCACAAGAAGCAGCTGAGCATCCTCATGGGCGTGTCAAGAGCACCGCTA